TGCAGACACTACGAGAGTTAGGGAATAGAAAGTTCCCGCGCTTGCACTTATGCACGACACAGACACACACGGTCAGTTCGACTGATCAGTTTCAAACTAGGTCTGTTGATACTCAACATATAAAACTCCGATATTGATATATTTATAATTATGGATATATCGATGGTCTTTCCATTTATCCAACAACAGTTCATAGTTTTTATCGAACCTGTAATCAAAAGCCTCTCTCTTTCTTCTTCAACTCCTTAATGGCTGTCAATGGGTACTTTTTAGTGCGATTCTCACGAACTGTTCCAGTAGCGCAGTATCCCAGATTTCGCAAATCAACTAAAAGATTACAGCTTGTGAAAAAGTTGTCAAAAATACTTTATTATTTTTTGGGTCGATATCTAATTATGACAACGGAGACTCTACAACTCTGGTTCCCAAAATTTCGTCAGAAAAATCAAGTGACTTTCCACAATAAAAATCAAATGTGTAGCAGTACCCAGTGAAACTTGCAGCAACCCAGTTCTTATATCCAAAACGCACTAGTTTGCCTTATATAAGTTGCTTACTGGGTTGGTGTCCATAATATTTGACCATCGACTCGTCAGTTGAAATATTTTCATGAAATATGAAAGATTTATTTAATTGAAATGAGAGAATTAGCGCAGACTTTCTCCTGCAAATGTTGCCATATTTTATAATCCAGAGGGCTTAAATCTGGACTAAAAGAGGGCCAGTCTTCATGTCCGATAAAGTCAATTGCATGGACGGTCAACCAGTTTTGCATGCTTCGTGCCCTATGAGCTGGTGCAAAGTCATGTTGGAATATTCAATTTCTGTTTTTGAACATTGTCTGAGAAAGAGGTTCTACTATGTTTGTTATGACGGTATTTTGGTATACCTCGGCACTGGCTTTTACACATTTTTTACAGAAAAACACCACAGTTAAGCCTGAATATGAGACTCCAAACCAAACCATGAGTTACGAAGGAAAATGTGCTCGTTAAAACCTCGGAATACGCATGCTGGCTTCTTCACTAATTTTCATCCGAAAACAAAATTTCGCGGTATTTTTTCCCGCGTACCGCCGTAAGAAAACGCGGGATCTATCCAGCCTAATTTTTTTCAAACGCTCGTTCAAAAAATGTCCGGTCTTCGTACGATAAGCTAGTAGTCCTAGGTATTCATTGATCACTTTTTTGATCGTGGTTCTGCTTAGGCCCATCTGAAGAGTTAAGATTTTTTATTTACGAACAGGATTTCGTTGGATTCGCACCTTCACTGCTTTGATGATCCTAATGGGTGTCCTAACTGTAAGAGGTCGGCTGGTCCTCTTACGATCTTCGAAGCTTGAATCTTCAGTGAATCGTTTGATAGTACTGTTACGCGCTCCAGTCAACGATACACTAGCGCCATCTAGTGTCAGGAACGAGAGCGAGGGGAGCATTGAGAAAATGACATCACAAATTACTCAACCGACAGCGCCTAGTCGAAACTCGAACGCTCGGTGCCTTCCGCGTGTTTACTTGAACATTCTGGATATTTCTTTGCTAAATTGAATATATAGGCGCTGCAAGATGCGATGGAAGACAGTGTTGATTTGGGCGAAACAAGCGAAGCTTCGGAGTGGAATTAAGTGAATTAGTGTGTTTAAATTATTAGTGTTTTAACTTTAATTGTGTAAAGTAAATTAAAGTGTTAATTTAGGTAATTTTATCGGCAATTTTTATTGTCACGAACCTCAAGCTCGTAACAATTGGTGTCAGAAATGGGATAAAATCATGCCGATTTTACCTAAGGAGGAAACGGAGGGTGTCCGTACCCGAAATCAACGCCAGCAGGAGACGGACCAAAGAAGATTTGGTGGTGCAACGCCGCTGACGTCGGAGGGCCAGCCGCCGGCTGCAGGCCCGTCAGTAGCCCCTCCATCTGCAGCACCCAATTTAGGTGCTCTGATGGTGATGCTGCAGGAGCAGGCTCGCCGACAGGAGGAACAGGTCCGTCGTTTGGAAGAGCAGCTGCGGGGCGGACAGGAGGAACAGGCCCGCCGATTAGAAGAGCAGCTGCGGGGCGGACAGGAGGAACAGGCTCGTCGGTTCCAAGAGCAGCTGAAGCGCGGACAGGAGGAACAGGCCAGTCAGTTGAAAGAGCAGCAGGAGGAACAGGCCCGCCGACACGAGGAACAGGCCCGCCGACAGGAGGAACAGATGCTCCTCATGAAGGACCTTCACGCTACCTTCGGGAAGGAGATAAAGGAGGTGAAGGATAGGGTTGCTCACCATGACAACCGCCTGTCGGAAGCTGAAAACCGAATCGAGAAAACTGAAATCCGAATCGACCAAGTAAACAATCGGGTTGACAACGTAATGGCTGACATGAAGAAATCATTGGACGAACTCAAACTTGAAGATGGAGCTACAGCTCCCGTAGTAGCTACAACACCTTCGCTACGTGGGTTCAAGGTGCCACCGTTCGACGGTACCTCTTCCTGGTCAGCCTACAAAATCCAGTTCGAGGCTGTTATGAAGGCGAACGGCTGGAATAAAAGTCAGGCCATGACTGCTCTCACACTAGGCCTGCGCGACCAGGCCTTAACAGTTCTGGAAGCTCTCGGCGAGGAAGTGACTTATGAGCAACTCCTTGAGGCATTGGAGGCGAGGTATGGCGACGCTCACCTGGAACACGTCTTTCGTGCGCAGCTTAAAGATCGCTTGCAGCGCATCAACGAAAACCTGCAGCAGTGGGCTCTAGAGGTGGAGAAGCTGGTGCGAAAAGCATACCGGTCTGTACCTGCGCTCATTGAAGGGAACCTGGTGCAGACATTCATCGACGGCATCCGCGACCTGGAAGTCAGAGCTGCTGTGAGGCTCGGGCACCACGAGACGCTTAAGAACGCCTTGGCCCATGCACTGGAGGTAGAAGCCGTGCGGCAGGATCATCGTTCCCATCGCGTCAGGGAGGTTGCAGCAGCTACAGTTCGCGACCGCAACAAAGGATACAGCCCTAGGTGCTATGGCTGTGGGGAAAAGGGCCATCTTCGATCCAGCTGCCCTAAACGAACCGTGGAAAGGAGAGTTGATCGATCTCGAGAGGGTAGTGCAGCTAACGGCACTGCCTGGCGGCGACAGGATCATCGTTCACCTCACGCTAGGGAGGTTACAGCAGTTACGGTTCGCGACCACAATAAAAGATACAGCCCTAGGTGCTATGGCTGTGGGGGAAAGGGGCCATCTTCGGTCCAGCTGCCCTAAGCACACCCTAGGAAGGGAAGGTGAACGGTCTCAGAAAGGAAGTGCGGCTAACAGCACCGCCCGGCAGCAGCAGGAATACGACTTTACTATCAGACACTGCAGCGGGAAATCTCACGGCAACGCAGATGCATTGTCAAGAAGACCTTGTCCTGAAGATTGCAACCATTGTAGTAGGCAAGAGAGTAAGGAGGTGGTATCCATGAGGATGCTCAGGACGGACCACCTCAGCAACGAATGGAAGGACAACCTACGACATGCACAGCAGGAAGATCCAGACATCAAGCCGATTCTGGGATGGATGAAGGCCCGTGCTACCAAGCCTAAGTGGAGGGACGTCTCAGCGATGAGTTCAACCACGAAAAGCTATTGGGCCCAATGGGACAGCTTGCTGATTCAGGATGGAGTCCTGTGCCGTAAATGGGACAATGGTCGAAGAGACAGCTGTCGTTTGCAAATGGTTGTCCCTAAAGCTAAAGTGTCGAATGTTCTACAGTTGTGCCATAATGGTCGTTCAAGAGTCCATCTGGGAGTTAAACGAACTCTACTGAAGGTCCGAGAACAGTTTTACTGGGTCCATTATCGTGACGATGTCGAGGATTGGTGTCGTACATGTACAAGTTGTGCGGCCGTGCGGGGACCTCGGACACGTAGTAGAGGAGCACCGAAATTGTACAATGTTGGTACACCACGGGATAGGACAGCCCTTGACATTGCGGAGCCGTTACAGAAAGGCGCAAGAGGGACTCCTAAGATCGTCCGTGTGAATCGCTTGGCGCGTTATTATGGGGCCGATAATGCTCGGGACGAGCATGTCTTAGGAGGGGGCAGTGTTACGCGCTCCAGTCAACGATACACTAGCGCCATCTAGTGTCAGGAACGAGAGCGAGGGGAGCATTGAGAAAATGACATCACAAATTACTCAACCGACAGCGCCTAGTCGAAACTCGAACGCTCGGTGCCTTCCGCGTGTTTACTTGAACATTCTGGATATTTCTTTGCTAAATTGAATATATAGGCGCTGCAAGATGCGATGGAAGACAGTGTTGATTTGGGCGAAACAAGCGAAGCTTCGGAGTGGAATTAAGTGAATTAGTGTGTTTAAATTATTAGTGTTTTAACTTTAATTGTGTAAAGTAAATTAAAGTGTTAATTTAGGTAATTTTATCGGCAATTTTTATTGTCACGAACCTCAAGCTCGTAACAGTACTATAAACAAATCGTAGAGTTATTTTCAATTTTTGTAGAATATTGAGTCTCTTTTGACGCGTAACCACAGCGGTGCAATCGCTACTCTATCTTGTTTCTTTGACTACTCCATATTTGAAAATTAATGAAAACTAATGTCTTTTTTATTTTCGGCAAACGCAAACGTTATATTTTTAAAATTGGTGAAGTTCATCTAGCTAATACTAACTTTTTTTTTAAATAATAAGGTTTTGACAGAACTTATGACCCGACTAGGTACTGCTTCCGAGGCAATTTGTGATATCCCGACAAAATCAAAATACCAATGAACTTTTTTAGGTCCGGCAAATCAAGTTGAAAAGAGTGTCTATGGTTTTGATTAGAGTACAAAATACTATTAGATAACATCAGCTGTAATACTTCTTCACCCAGTATTTTTTCAAAAATTTGTACAGGATTTTGGTCTTTCAGTTGTTCATTCATAGCATATTCTGTTTATCTTGCACCTCAGATGTATGCTAATGGCCAAAAGTATAGGATGGTGAACATTTTCTCCAGGCTAGTTTGCTGCCGCTGCTAAATGTTAGACTGCCTACGAAGTCGTTTTGCGGCCAATGGTTCTTCGTCACTGGAATCATAGTCGCTCGACAAAGTACCTTCATCGCGCACCATAACCTTAATATTTCCGAGCACATCTCGTGGCAACATATACGTCACCATATCTTCATCAGGCCCTTCCTCTTCGTCAGTCACGACACTGGGATCAGGTGGTATTATCGCCATATCATATTCACGGTCATCATCACTATCTGCTGTGACTACTTCAATTGCTTCCTTAATTCCTATTTGTACCGGAAAAAATCTTGCGACTCATTGTTGAAACAAAGTATTTTTTATCTATTGAAGTGACCAGTGTACTCAACTGAGTACATCTGTACATCAATAAAAATCTTCATCTAAAGTTAAACAAAAATTGTTTCAAATTTGTAACTCCTATTATAGTTTACACTATATCTTAGTATATTAATAATAAAATATAATAAAATTACTACTTACTCACTAGCACGCTAGTCCAATAACATGAAATCCGGTTGCTCCAAATGACACGTATTTTAGAAGTACCCTCAATTTGCACGACTCAAAAAAATATGAGTATACCCTCTATTTAATTTATTAAAATAAAAAATAACAAACGTCAATTAATGTTTGAACAACTGTACTCGTTTGAGTACAGCGACAGAGAATGGATTAAAGCAATTCTGCTTTCTTATGATAACAACACATTCTTCCATTGACCTAGCTATTCTGTGTGATCTGAGGGGTTCTGGAGCGCGGGCTGGACGAAATGCTGTCAGATCTCTTTCAGCCAACCGTCTTCTAACTGTTCTTTCACTTACACTGACATTTCTGACTTCAAACAGACGATTTCAAACCTTAGCCGCTGTAATTAAGGCGATCTCGTAACACATTACCGACAATAAAACGATTATCCCGAGCTGACCTGCATCAGTCGCTCTTGACCGGGTCTCCGTGTGTAACGCCCAGTCTCCCGATACCTCTGAATGGCGTCTTGTATAGTTGTACGTAGTAGACTAAGTGTTCCTGCAATTCGCCGCTGGCTGTACCTCTCATCAGTTAAAGCTACAGCTTTAGCAGCATCCAAAGGCATTTTTTTAAGCATAACACACTAAAATTTCCCTTAAGTTGACTTCAGTAATTTTAACTGATAAGGATAACAATTTCCATAATTTTAAACCTTGAATACACAGATTCCAAATAATGCTAACTGTAGACTAATCTTTGAAATGGCATTAAAACCACAAGATAATAAATAGGGTACATTTGTTTAATTTGAATCCAAAATGAACCACCTTAACACAAATAATAATCATGACATGTATAAATTTACAAAAACAAACGTAGTGCCACTTAAGAAGGGTGAGCAGTTAATTGTGCCTGTGAGAGTATATATTTAGATTCACCAATTATACTTGAAATTTGAAATAAAACTGTAAGCCTTAATTACAGAAATTTATTAATAAACTCACAGGAAATTGTGTCCGTCTACTTCAATAATACTCAAATTAACTCATTTTATTTACTTTTACAAAATGTAATGTAGAATAGACCAGTAGTATTTATAGGACAAATTGGACATAGTACATAATATATCTATTTTACTGTACAATAAGAAAACAAAATACCTAAATAATTGATGTTTACAATAAATGGTACTATTGAAAAGAATAAACTAAAATAGGGACTGAATCACAGAATAGATCACAACTAATCTAGATATATTAAAATTAACAATTATTTTAGTCAAGATATTTAAATTAATTACACATATAACAAACAAATCAGTCAAATAATGGCATAAATTCTTGCTCTCCTAAAGAATTTAACAGCTCAGCCATGCAACAAAACCAATGTTATAAAGCATACAAATTACAATAAATAGCAATACTGGCTAATGTTTACTTTTATCAAGACATAATAACTATTATTTACATAGTCATAGCCTTAAAACTTATGTAGGTCCTATAAATTAGTTTACACTGCCAGCGATGTGGCTAACTGTGGTTAACTTGAAAGCTTCGTGCTTAATGCGTATTTGCAATATATTTTTTAGGAATTCTCAATATTATTAAATATGCAGAAATAAACTCGTATAGATGCGATACGGCCGGTTGCAATAGATTTTGAGATCAATATGGAACCGCCAAACACAATTATAATGAGCGAGTGAAGCAGCAAAAGAGGCAGGTGGTCATTGATATACAATCCGCACTTTCATGGTTAATTGAGTCTATGTTTTAATCTACACACTTTACACCTTAGTCATGTTTTAATTACCATTATTTTATAGCAGCTAACAAACCACCTAACTGACAGTGTACACTAACTTTTTAATTTAATTGCAATAGTTTTTATGTAATCCTAATCAAAATAAAATAAGGTACATGTGCTGTGAACATAGTCACAATAATTAAAATAAAACTTCTTTATTTTCAAGTAAATATTTCTGTGATGAATGGTGAATTATATATATCTTGAAATTACCATAAAACTGTCTTTGATCTAAATAAGAAAAATAGATACCTATGTTAAGGACAAAATTGCGTGACAAAATGTTTACACTGCAAGTAATATATATAAATTATTAATGCAAAAAAATCTTTATGTCTATACCCTTATTTCTTAACAATGACCAATATCTTTAAAACTAAACACTTTTAGTTATATAACATTTAGGTACATAATTTACTTACATAAAGCCCACTGTTTTATAAGTGAACCAATAAACTGAATAAAGACATTTCTATTCGGCAACCTTAACACTTTTATTATATTCATTACATAACTAACTATAAAGAACTTGAGATCATACAGAAATAAATGGTTACTTCCATAATCCATTATTTAAAAAGAACATCTTATTTTTATCAAAAACAGTGTGATGATCAGCAAATTATTACAATGAGACATTCCTAATTATTATTATCAAAACGGTGGGATATATCTTAAAAGACAATTATTTGCACAAAAGATTGTGATAACTAAGCTTTCCAATTACCTGTTAACTATAATTACAATCAAAATATACACACAAGTTTTAATAAAAAAGTTATTTCTGTCTAGTGATTAATATATCATTAACAGAAAATGTTTATGATAAAGAAAAATAAAATTATGGGAAGATGATATTTTACCCTATTTTTTATTCCTGTTTTCATTTTTAGCCATTAATAAATATATGTAATTGTTGCCATTTACACACAAAAAGTTAATAACATTATTATTTCCCACAGGAAATTTATTGTAATTATAAACATACACACTTATGAATTAAGTTTGAAATTTTAGAGGTCTTAAGCCACACATAAAATCTACTTTTACCTATAAGCGAACATTACTTTGTACTAAAGTATACTCTGACAAATTTTCTTTAATCATCATCTAATTCTATAATAATCGGTTCAACATTTTCAGTGGCTGCAGTATACTCATTCTTTAATTGTGTTAATAACATACACTTTGGTATTTTAAGTTCATCTGCTTCATCCAATAACACTTTTAATTTCTCGACTCTTCCTATATCAGGAGCAGTTGGAAGCAAAATTTTTTTTGTTTCTGTCATCCATTTATCAAAACTGTTAACTCTAAAGTCAAGAGTCTGCAACATTATGTGTAACTCATCCATGTCATACCTATAATTAAGAGTCTTTTTATCTAAAGGACACTGGCAAAAATCATTGGCATGCTGCAGGCATGCCATATGCTTACAATCAGCACATGATACAGATGACAAGAAACATGTTGTTTTGCATACCTCACATAGTCTCTCATCATCTCCCAGCAACTCAAAGGCTGTTCTTCGTACACTTTTCAATCCTTGTTTAGCTATCTTTGCTCGTAACCTACCTTCTTCCTCTGTAGCCGAAACTAATTCCTTTTGTGTTTCCAAAGCTGTTTCTAAATCTAGACGATCACCTTCTAAAGCCATTTTACAAATTAGTTCATCATGAGAGAAAACACAAAACCTTTTGAGGTACTTGTAATGGGTTATACAGTCTCGGCCAATTTTAAGCCAGTCTGGTGGAGCAAAATTTACTGCTTCAGCAAAGTTATACCCTTGATTGAAGCCTGCATGATAGGCTCGTGGAAATGTCACAACAAATTCACCAGCTTGTTGATCAGTACGATAAATAGGGACCCCTGCTGCCATCAGTATATTAGGATTCATAATAGTAACTAACTGATGAAGTAAATCAGGTTGAGATTTGAAAAGCTCTGGAGCCGCTGCTTTCATTGCAGTCTCTAACAGTTCTGCCCCACTTCCTGGTACACCATACCAAGTTTTTGCTTCACCCCAATGCAAATAATTAATTGAATAACTCCAGTGATCCTCATTGTGCCAGCAAAATGCAGAAAAGCACATGCCTACATACATCCAAGGTACCGTCATACCTGAGATATCTGCGTTAATAAATCTTAACACTGAACCATCTAAGACTGGTAGATTATTTAAATTCCATCCTGAATCTACATACTCTTGATCACCAGGATAAAGATTCAAGGAGGACTTAGTTGGAAAACCTGAACCATGATCCATTGAGTGCAAGTCTGCACCATATTCTACTGTTACATCTTCTTCCACTGACGATATAATTCTCCAGAATTCTTTTTCTGCAACAGATGTAGGCACTAAATGGCCAGACATGCCAAAATAATCAGATTTAAATTTATCAGCCATCTCTCCAAACTGTTGAAGAGTATATTCCCTTTCAGCCTGAGCAAAGCCAAAGGCCTCTGCTGGCTTATGTACCTCCTCAGCTATACAACAGGGGCAACGCCAATCTCCATCGGGAACAGAATTCAAAGGAGGTTTAAGACAAAATGTGTGATAAGTATCAGAACAACCATTACAGATCAACAATAAATTATCAGTATGGTCTTTTTGACAAATAGCACAAACATAAACTGCTAAGGGATCTAAATCATATCTTGGTCTCTTTCTAGATTTTGTTATATCAAACTCTTCATCATTAAGACCAGGCATTTTGGGCCCAGGTCCATAACATGCTAATCTTCTTAGCTCTCTATTACATTTCATTTCCTCACTTTCTACAATACTATGACTGTCCACATCAAGTTTGATATCTGATCCAGTTTTAGTTTTTTTAATACTTGTATGAGGTATGTAATTCTTACATTCATCTTTTGGTTTAGTAATTGATTCTACTGATACTTCTTTAAAGGTCTGCTTAGCATCATCACCA